CCACGATCAACGACGTTTCCGTGGCGCACACCACCCTGAAGCGCGCCATATGATGAAAGGGGCCTCCGTGCCGAAGCACGCCTTCCGGAGGTAATTAAGCGACACAGTGGGCCCGCTTCGCCGCCGAGATTGCGGCCATTGCTACCTCCGACCGCAAGAACGGATCCTGGCGTTGCTTCTGCTGCTGCTGCTGCTGCTGCTGCTGTAGCCCGAGGGCACCAACATGGACCAAGTACCCTCGAACGCGAAGTCGACTCCAGCCAAGCAGTTCGGGCCCGAACCGCCATCGATAAGAGAACCCTCCCGACGGCAGCACACAAGAAAGGGAGGACACGCCGAGGAAGTCCACCTGCGAGACGCACAGTTCCACGATGAGGACGGACGGTCTCTTTGAAGCGGGATTCCTCGATGAAGCACGCCTCGTAATGAAGCCTGCCTCCGTGACGCACAGCCGCCCGCGAAGCACGCCCCCGTGAAGCGGGCCTCGCCAATGATGCACACCTCCGTGACGCACGCCTCGGCAACGCACGCTGTCATGAAGCAGGCCTCATGTAGGCGCGCCTCCGAGAAGCACGCCTCGATGAAGCACGCTGCCCTGAGGAAGTTCGCCTCCATCACGCAGCCCGCCTCCATTGGGCAGCGCGCTTACGTAAGGCACACTTAGATATTGAAGCCTGCCCCTGCGAAGTAAACTTGGACACGGACGTGCACCCCCTCGACACACACTTCCGCGAAGTAAACCGTGGTAGCGAAGCACGCCCTGACGATGAAAGACCATCCAGCGCAACGCGTCAAGATGAAGCAGACTTTCGAGACACCTCCCTGACTGAACACACGACGAAGACTTCCGTGACTTGTGCACTCCCTTGCCAGCCTGGGCCCGATCGTTCACTGAAGAATTGCCCGAGCTGCTGGAGGAAGAGCCCCACGAGCACTGCAAGCACCCTCGTGCGGGAGAGGAGCTGTGGACTTCGCGAACAATCTGCTAGGGTGAGGTTTCCAACGTCGGAGCCCCTCGAAGCTCGCCCGGCGGAGCACGCTGCAATGAGGCATGCCCCGACGAAGCACTCCACGATTACGAACTCAACGGTGCACTCCCCGGGACTCCACTCCCCGAGGGCGCGGAGCGCCAGGGAATGCCCAAGATGGGGCACACCCCGGGGGACCACAACAAGGGGAACAACAATATGAAACATAGCACTGGTGCCAACCTGGCTACTGCGCACCAAGAGCCCCGAGGTATCCCGACGCAGCGGCGGGTTTATTATTAGTGGCCCAGACCCAGGCGCGGTCAGTTCTTCTTGTCAAAGGGCCGAGCCTCCTTCGTGTACCAGAGGACCGCTATGAAGGTGCGCAACGCTGCCGCGGCAGAGGTGGCTTCTCCGCCGAGACTCCTATCCAAGCGAGCTTGTGGGACAGGAAACGATCGAAGGGCACGTGGGCAGGCCGAGCCCGTGGACTGCCTGCCGACGGACCGCCCGCGTTTCAGGGATACGACGAGCCCAAGAGGATGTGGATGGACGTAAAAGTCTGCACTGCCCTTGCGCGACGGCCCACTTTGGTAAGGTCCGCTGATGACTTGTAGTCGCCGTGGTGTACGTACGCATGCTCACCTGGTGCCGTGGGCCCACACACCCTGTTGTGTCTGCCCCCCGCCAAAAGGATGTGACGGCCGCCAGTGAACGGAGAGCCACTCCAGCCAGGCAGTTTGGGCCGGAGACACCACGGAGACACCACGGAGGGGATGAGGATGAGAATGAGGATGAGGATGAGGATGACGATGACGATGACGATGAGGATGAGGATGAGGATGAGGATGAGGATGAACATGAGGATGCGGATGCGGAGGCGGAGGCGGAGGCGGAGGCGGAGGAGGAATAGGATGATGATGATGACGACGACGACGATGATGATGATGGTGATGATGATGATGATGATGATGATGATGACGATGACGATGATGACGATGACGATGATGATGATGATGATGATGAGGATGATGAGGATGATGATGATGATGGTGATGATGGTGATGATGGTGATGATGGTGATGATGGTGATCTTGGTGATGCTGATAATGATTATGATGATGATAAGGATGAGGATGATGAGGATGATGAGGATGATGAGGATGATGAGGATGATGAGGATGATGAGGATGATGAGGATGATGAGGATGATGGGGATGATGGGGATGATGGGGATGATGAGGATGATGAGGATGATGAGGATGATGAGGATGATGAGGAAGATGAGGATGATGAGGATGATGAGGATGATGAGGATGATGAGGATGATGAGGATGATGAGGATTATGAGGATGATGAGGATGATGAGGATGATGATGAGGATTATGAGGATGAAGATGATGAGGATGAGGATGAGGAGGATGAGGATGAAGATGATGAGGATGAGGACGAGGAGGATGAGGATGAGGATGAGGATGGTGATGGTGATGGTGATGGTGATGATGATGATGATGATGATGATGATGATCATGATGATGACGATGATGACGATGACGATGATGATGATGACGATGACGATTATGATGCTGATGATGATGATGAAGATAATGTTGATGATGATGATGGTGATGATGGTGATGATGGTGATGATGGTGATGATGGTGATGATGGTGATGATGATGATGATGGGGATGATGAGGATGATGAGGATGACGAGGATGATGAGGATGATGAGGATGATGAAGATGTTGAGGATGTTGAGGATGATGAGGATGATGAGGATGATGAGGATGATGAGGATGATGAGGATGATGAGGATGATGAGGATGAGGAGGAGGAGGAGGAGGATGAGGATGAGGATGAGGACGAGGATGATGGTGATGGTGATGGTGATGGTGATGGTGATGGTGATGATGATGATGATGATGATGATGATGATGATGAGGATGAAGAGGATGAGGAGGATGAGGATGATGAGGATGATGAGGATGATGAGGATGATGAGGATGATGAGGATGATGAGGATGATGAGGATGATGAGGATGATGAGGATGAGGATGATGAGGATGATGAGGATGATCAGGATGATCAGGATGAGGATGATGAGGATGATGAGGATGATGAGGAGGATGAGGAGGATGAGGAGGATGAGGAGGAGGAGGAGGAGGATGAGGAGGAGGAGGAGGAGGGGGAGGATGGGGAGGAAGAGGAGGAGGAGGAGGAGGAGGAGGAAGAAGAGGAGCGGAAGAGGAGGAAGAGGAGGAGAGGAGGAGGAGGAGCGAAGAGGAGGAAGTGGAGGAAGAGGAGGAAGAGGAGGAGGAGGAAGAGGAGGAAGAGGAGGAAGAGGAGGAGGAGGAAGAGGAGAAGAGGAGGAAGAGAGGAAGAGGAGGAAGAGGAGGAAGAGGAGGAAGAGGAGGAAGAGGGAGGAAGAGGAGGAAGAGGATGAAGAGGAGGAGGAGGAGGGAGAGGAGGAGGAGGAGGAAGAGAGGAAGAGGAGGAAGAGGAGGAAGAGCAGGCAGAGGAGGAAGACGAGGAAGACGTGGACGACGAGGAAGACGAGGAGGAGGAGGAGGAAGAGGAGGAAGAGGAGGAAGAGGAGGAGGAGGAGGAAGAGGAGGAAGAGGAGGAAGAGGAGGAAGAAGAGGAAGAGGAGGAAGAGGAGGAAGAGGAGGAAGAGGAGGAAGAGGAGGAAGAGGAGGAAGAGGAGGAAGAGGAGGAAGAGGAGAAAGAGCAGAAAGAGGAGGGAGAGGAGGAAGAGGAGGAGGAGGAGGAGGTGGAGGAGGATGAGGAAGAGGAAGAGGAGGAAGAGGAGGAAGAGGAGGAAGAGGAGGAAGAGGAGGAAGAGGAGGAAGAGGAGGAGGAGGAGGAGGAGGAGGAGGAGGGCTGGAAAGCTAGCGTATAGTGTCGCCGACAGGAGCCCAGAGACGTCGATGTAGACGTAAATGGTGATAAGACGAGAAAGTAAATCTGTTTATGCACGGCGGTGCTCGTGCAGTTTGATAATGCATGAAATGAGGCTCGCGTGCCTAGCCAAAACGACTAAACGCGCGGGCGCTCGGGAGAAGGGGAGGGGGAGGGAAGGGAAAGGGCACTGCTGCTAGCGCCGGCCGCTCTCTCATGCCACGCTCGTGACTTCTTCCCCAGTCAGTCGGGGAAGCAGGAGTCGCTTGAGGCCCCTTCCGCGCACCCCTCGTGGAGAGCACCGTCGTCGTAGGTTTAAAAACCACTTTGACCAAGACACCGTTCGTGATCTGATCCGCTTGGGCCCGAACAGCTGGACACGCTAGCTTGCACCATACTGTGTTCATCTACTCTGTGGCGCCCTCATGAAATCGTCGACGATCCTGTGGATGGCTTGGCTCTGGCTTTTGCCTTCGTGCCCACGCCGGCCGCGCGAGCTGGGCGCTCGTGTCCCCGCTACCTGTGACCAGGGCAGATCCTGCACTGGTTGACCTTCACCTCGTGGTTCGGCTTGTCGCCGCGGGTCTCGCCAGCCTGCTTCACAAGAATGCGCTGATGGCGCTCCTGTCCGTGGCCGTGGTACTTCGGCAGGAGGAAATATATGCCCTTGATCGTGTCGGGACATTACTTCCGGTACGTATCCTTTTTGGGGGGGGGGCTGTTTCGTGTGGGGTCCCTCGGTGATTGCGTGCAGCGCGCAAAACTGATTCATGAGATAATCGACGGCGACGCACCCAGCAAACAACTCGCAGCGGAACGTGTTCCAGGTGACGCGCAGGCGGCTACGACACAGGGCGTCGATCAGATGGCACACCTGCGCGCCAGTCGGGTTCACGCCAACACGGAGAAAATTGGCACCTCTCATGCCGTAGCCTTTGTCTTCTTCCTTGCGGAAGCCACTGTCTGAGAATGCCTGCAGCGCCGCTGTCTACTGCAGTGCCTGGCTCTGTCTCGCTAGGTCCCCGGGTACCGGTGCAGTCGGCGAACAAGAACGTTGGCACGCCGCCAAGGAAGGATCGACGCATCACGTTGCTGTCGCTGCCGTGACACAGTGTACCGAAGCAGGGGAACCTGTGTGATCATGGCGTGACCAAGAACACCCACCAAAGACCACAACATAGACATCTGCTGCTCGGTGCACTTGTCGTCGCCACGCTTCCCGCTGTAAAATTCCGGCGGGATGGTATGGATGGCGTTCACACGCTCTTGTTTTGGTCGGTCCCCAAGGTTCTGTCTTACGACGTTGGTGAACTTCTGAAGGCTGACCTGGCGCGTTCCAAACACTGCCTCGAGAGAAGTGCGCAGCTTCTGCACCCTGTGGTTTTCACTGCCCACCTTGAGATCGTCCACGTGCTTGCCGCGCACGATGTGGAGCTCACCTTTAGAGTTGTGCCCCACCTCGAGCTCGGGATCTTCAGAGAGAGGCTTCAGATTCAAAGGTGGGCTCCGCGTGACCCGGGCGAGTTTGAGGCGGAAAGCTCGCAGTGCTCCTTTGGTGCTGGTGGCGGCTTTCAGCACTTCGGCATGTCCGCTTGTACGCATGATAGTTTTCGACTCTTTCCGTCCAGGAGCCATCAACATTATGCACCCACTTCCACTTAGCGGCAAACCTGCTGGACATGATGATTTGTCCGCCCTGTGTCCTCGGAGCTCGTTGGGGCGATTGGCAAGGTATCCAAATCTTGAGCTCTTCCAGAACTGCTGCACGAACTTCCGCGTGGTACTTTTTTGGCTCGCCCTTCGTTGGAACGTCCCGGTCCGTGACCACTGCCTTGCGCGATGGGCTGGCGACGTAAATCAGGATCGAAACGAACTCGTCTTCCTGGAACGGGTGGTCCAGAGACAGCTTGGAGGCCTTTTTCGAGAGGTACATCTCGACGCCGAGGTTGTCGCTCTGGTCGGTCTGGCAGTGAAACATGTAGGCGCTCACGGACAATCCGGCTGTGAGGTCTTGCTGGTAC